GGTCAACCACCACCACCACCAACCACCACCACCACTCCCCTCAGTATCTCCCCCCCCCCCCCCCCCTCCCTCACACGTCACGTCATGCGCTTCCGTCCCGTCGTTCCTTCCTTCCACCCCCTCCCCTTCCCCCTTCCCCCCCTCCTCCCTCCACACTCACCCCCCTCCCCCCCCCCCCCCCTATCACGATGCACTTCTTCCTCTCCCTGCTGGTGGTGGCTACTACCATGGCGGTGGCAGTCTCTGCCGCAGGCCCGCGGGCATACGTAGAGACGGCGTACTCGCACACCCTCACCACCGCCCTTCGTGACGCCTCCCTGGACGTCTTCCATGACAAGTTCTCGTCGGTTGCTCTTCCGGATGTGGCGGGAAGGGCATCAGCCTTTATTGGCTCGGTCGACTATGCTCTTCGCTCGCTGCTGCTGCAATCGGTGGCTTTGAACAACGCCCAGCTGGTCTTCCTCCCTCCCTCCCGCATCGTTGTCAAGTCGGTCGATCTGGCCGCCGCCGCCTCCTTCCACTGGTCCTACCGCGAGGTTGCCTGGCCGCATGCGTCAGATGGCGGTTCGGGCACTGCTCGCGTCTCCCGGACCTCGGTCGAGCTCACCATCGAGCTCAGCAAGGCTGAAGATGGCCGGCCTACCGTCGCCGTCGCCGATGCCAACGTCGTCGTTGGCGAGCTCGACATCTCGCTTTCGGGCGGCGCGTCGTGGCTGTACAAGTTTGTTCTGGGTGCGTTCAAGGCCCACGCTGTCGACTCGCTTCAGTCTGCGCTCCGCGACGCCGTCGTCGACGCCTTTACCGAGCAGGCCTCGGCCTTTGTCGCCGCCCTCCCGCTCCGTCTTGACCTCGGCGCCAAGACCGGTCTACCTGTCGGCACCGTGGACCTCTCGCTTGTTGCCGCGCCCGTTGTTGACGACGCCTTTGTCCGCTCTTCGCACCTCGGACGCATCGTTGATCCGGCCGACCCGGCCCACGCCTACGAGCCCACCGTCGAGGTTGGCCCGCTCCCGGCGCTCGACTCGGGTCGCGACGTCCAAATGGCGGTCTCCGCCGGCTTGCTCAACTCGGACTTTTCCTACATGTATGCCACCAAGGCGCTCAACACCCAGCTGGTGGCGCTTCCGGCATCGTCGCCCATCCAGCTCTTGGTCTCCAACTTTCGCCAGATGGTCCCTGCGCTTGCCAAGTACTTTAAGGACTCGCAGCAGATGCTAGCAGTGGTGACACTCGACGCCCCGCCGAACATCACCCTCTCTGCCTCCCGTGGCGTTCTCCTGGAGGCCCACGCAAGCATCGCGTTCTCGGTCTACCCCGACGGGATTGTGGTGACCGACCCGGCCACCGCGCCCGCCGCCGCCTTTGCCTACGAGCTTGGTGCCGTCTTCAAGGCTTCGGCCTCCTTTGCCCTGGCACCGGCCTCGGCACCGCCCTCGCACACCCTCCTTGTCGGCTCGGTGGCGGGCCTCGATGTCGACCTCTCCGCCCGCCGCTCCGCCATCGGGCCGGTCGACGCCACCACCACCTCGCAGTTTGCCAACTTTGCTCTCCACCGGGTCCTCGTCCCGCAGCTCAACGGCTACCTCTCCACCGGCTACCCACTCCCGCTTGCCGCCGGCATCGACCTCGTCGATCCCGAGCTTACCACCCTCGACGGCGCCTTTCTCATCAACTCGGGCGTCAAGATCTCCGCTGCTCTCCTTGAGTCGCTCCTCGAGTAATCGAGCCACACCAAGCCCACAAAGAACGACAGCCAGTCACACAAAACACCATCAAGAACCACACAGAGCCAACGACGTCCGTAATCCTCTCCCCCCTCCCTCTCTCTTGCGCTTCCCTTCCATTCGGCTCGTCCACGACTTCCACCTCACCTCCCCCCCCCCCCCCCCCCCTCCCCCCCACCCCCTCCCCACCTCTCACCACCATGGGCCGAAGAAAGCAGCGCAAGAAGGAGAAGCAACCACCACCATCGTCCGACCCGGTCATGGATAGCCTATACGGCCGCAGTACAGTGGTGACCTCCACAGCCATCACTCGGCCCACCAACTCTTCGCCCTCTCGCCCACTGTCCGACTCGCCATCGTCATCGCTCTCCGCCCCTTCGAATTCCGCTTTGACCCCGTCGCCGACCCGGGAGCTCTTCCCTGATGACGCCACGGCCGCATGGGAAGCATCAAACTTTGTCTTTGATCGCTACGGCGTGTGGAAGTCGAGCCAGTTTGCCACCATCCCCTCATGGATCGACGCCCTGATCGTCTCGCCCGCAGATGGCGTCCACTCGCGGAGCGGGACCATCACCTTTCCCATCTCCCTTCCGCCGTGCGATCCCCAGCCTGCGCCAGCCTTTGTCCGTCTTCCAGCCGCCATGCTCGCCGGACAGGCCTTTGCTCCACGATCGGTCCGCGGCGGCGGCGCAGAGGACTTTGACGGCTCAGCCGCCCGGCTCATCCCTCCGCCGGCCGAGTCTGGCGCCTCCCTCGCCTGGCACATCGAGCAGACCATGTGCAATGTAGTGGTCATCATGTGTCACGGTGGCTACTTTGCCGTCGCACACTTTGTCGATGGCGAGCTCCGCGAGCACAAGACCATGCGCAAGTACGTCACTCGCCGCAAGCAGGGCGGCCGCCAGTCGAACCGCGACCGCTCAGGCAGGGTCATGTTCTCCGCCGGCTCTCATCTCCGCCGGACAAACGAGGAGAAGCTCGCCCGCAACATCAAGGAACTGTTGGCCGGTCAAGCCTGGGCATCTGCGCTTGCCGCTGCCCAGCGCATCCTCCTCTGTGCGCCCGGACCGGCTAACCGCGAAATCTTCTTTGGCGTTGCCGCCGAGCGCGACCGCGAGCCGCCGCTCTTTGAGCTCAACGACCCGCGCATCCGCGGCATACCCATCAAGACCAACCGTCCCGCCACTGCCGAGTGCGTCCGCGTCTTTGAGCTCATGACTGCCGTTCACATCCTCACACGGGCCACCGACCGCGAGCCCGGGCCCGAGACCTCCCGGCCAACGCTCCGCACCATAGTCGCAACCCCTGGCCTGCTCGTCCAACCGCCCACACACCCGCGCTCGCCGCACCCTGTCGCCGAATCGCCAACCTCGACAGGATCAGCCGCCCTTACCGCTTCAGACTCGGACTTGAGCTCGGCCTCGGGCGAGTCATCACTCGATGACGCCATCTACGCCGAGGAACTGGCGCGCGAGTCGAGTTCCCCCTCTGTCACTCCCACGCACCACCCGCGCTCTGACGTCGCTGCCGCCGACGCCGCCGCCTCCGACGCCGCCGCTGACTCGACACACCCCCCAGCCCCACCACCAAGCCTGTCCTCCCCGCACCTTCCGCCTCACCAACCACGCCACCACCCGCTCCAACCACGCCACCAACCTCCTGGCTCTTTATCGCCGCCATTGCCACCGCTGCCCTCGCCACCGCCGCCGCCACTGGTCTTGCCCTCCGCAGACGCAACCCGTAACGCAGTCACCATGTTGCGGAAAGCAAGTTCATCGCAAGACACACAATTCTAGCCACACACCGAACGCTACACCGTTGATGACGCTGTCGACGACGCTGTCGACGACGCTCTCGACAACTCGACCGACGACGACTCTGTCGAACACTCGACAAGCATTGCCAGCCGGAACGCATCCAGAAATCTCTCGCCTTCACCGCCTGCATCGACCTCGATGAGCTCGCGCTCTACCCGACCCGCCACCACCTTCCATCGATGCTCGGCCTCGGCGGCACCACCGCGCGCCCGAGCCGCCCTGGTCTCGCGCACATCGGCGACCACCCCGTGGATCGACACCACCAATGTTGCCACCGCTGCCAGTGCCACCACCACCGTGAGCACCACCACCGTTGTAGAACTCGTCTCGGACCCGCGCTCCGCATGGAAGCCGATGCCTGTTAGCGCAATCGCCATCACACACCCATCGAGCCGCGCCCGCAGCCGGTTGTACATCGGCACGTAGTACGGCGCAGCCGCCACAAAGTAGCCCATCGAGAACGCAAGGATGAAAAAGATGGCAAAGAAGACCACGAGCTTGGTGCTCGAGAAAAACAGCGCGGCAATCACAATGCCTAGCCGAAGGACAAGAACAAGCATGCCCGTCGCCGCGTATCGCGTCCGGAACGCCTGGTAAATGACGCCAAACCGCGTCGTCGTCTCCGGCTCGAGCAGCGAGTCGCGATGCCGCCAGAGTCGGAAGCAGCCCCACGCCGGCAAGCCCATCACCACAACCACAACGCTCGCCACGCCCCACGGGACAAGCGACCACCATTCGGAGCTGTAGCAGCTAAACGAAGGCTCGCTGTCGAGCACCCATTGACCATCAGCGAGCTTAGTACAGTCAAACAGCTCCAAAGACGACTTGGAGAGCGGCACATAGAGCAGCGGTCCAAGTAGAAACACAACGCCATCGGCGACAGCGCTCAAACCAACCTCCTTCAGTGGCGCAAACATGCCCACACCACAAAACCGCAGACCGGCGAGAAGAAGTACGCACGCTACCACGCACACCATTGGCACCACCAGTGACATCACATACATCGACCCGTAGTCGCGGACAGAGCACCCGGTCGCCAGTAGCCGCGCGTCGGCGTTGGCCAGCGCAAAGCCAGAGAGCCCGGCTGTCACCCCGCGTGGCCAACCAAAGTCGCTCGACACAATGATCGCGATCAGCTGCGCAGTCGTGATCACCATCGACACAGAAGCCGGGGTGCGCCGCCGTCGAAACGCGAGCACGTGCTCCTGCCCTCCACCGCCGGACGTGATCGCCTTCACCAGCGAACGCCCCGCCATCGCCGCCCCACCAACCACCACAACCAACGCGAGAGCTACCACGACAACCATCAGGCCACCTGACGACGGCGGACACTTGCTGCACACGCTCGCCGACGAAGCGTAGTAGCCGTCCGCACACGATGCACACGCAAATCCATCGTAACCGACCTCGCACATGTTGTTGCCCAAGCATCCACTACGAAGGCAGCGCACAAACGCGCCGGACTCGGACGCAAAGAATCCCACTGCCGCCACAGGCATGGCAAGCCCGCCGACGCAATCTGCTCCATCAGGGCAGGCTCGCACACATCGCCACCCACCCCGCTTGGCGCGTAGAAGCCCACCACGCATCGGCAGAGAGAGGGGTCCGGCTTGGTCACGTTGGCCAGGAGCGCCATGTTCAACGGGCACGGCGGCGTTGCTACGCATGCCGCCATGCTCCCACCCTCCGACGAAGACGACGCATCACACTCGGTGCACACCAGCGCCGCCGATCCCAACCCGCTCGCAATTGTCCCGCCATACCCAGCCGGACAGACCGTTACGTTGATGCTTCCGCGAACACCCACCACGTTTCCGCCTTCGACGCTCACCTCGTACGCGACCGCAACCCCGGACGGCTCCGCCGTCGCAAGCAGCGCCACAAAGCCCGACGGCACAGGCGCCGCCAGGCTCGACAGCAACATATCGCCCGGCTCGTTTGGCACTGCAGCGCCTCCACTCACACTCTCGAACCGCAGTCGCAGGGATGTTCGATCATACACCACGTCCTGGCCCAGCACATCGCGCCCGCGGACCTTGGCCGACACAGCCTCGCCGGCAAACACCACACTCGCACCGGCATCGACCATTTGCAACTCTGCCAGCGGCCCTGCAATCGCAACTTGATTGAACACGTGCTCCGCCTCGATACTCAGCCACGGAATGCCCGACGAATTGCTCCGACTCGAGTTAAACGAAGCGTCCACAGCCGAAGACAAGCACACAAACGCGTCGTGGGCGGTCCTTGTCGCGCCCGATCGCAGTGCAGTGTTGCCCACCATCGCACTTGCATTGCCCGCCATTCGCACCCAAGACCCGCACGCAAACAGGCCACCGCCAAACAGAGACGCCACGTTATTGTCAAAAGTGCAGTTGTTGACAACGACGGTTGCAGCCAAAGCTCCAGCCCGCAGAGTTCTGCTGGGAACAGGCACCGTCGCGCCTGAAGCCACCGCCGCTCCGGCCGACACGCCACTCGTCTCGGCCAGACCAAGCGCTCCGCCGATGGCTGCCGAGTTGCTGGAGAAACTGCTGTCCGTCAGCTCGATGGCCGCTTCCCGAGTGCCAATTGCGCCAACACCGCCGCCCATGCCCCGCGGCGCCAAATTGCCGAAAAACGTCACGCTCTCGCCCACAAGCGCTCCGCCGCTCGCAACAAGCAGCCCACCGCCAGGCCCGGTGCTCACCACATTTTTCGTAAAGCTCGCACCCGCAGCTCCGATCTCGACTCGGCTGCCGTCGCCCACATACAGCCCGCCGCCCGCGCTGCCGGCCGTACACGCCACAAACGAGGTATTGCCGAGTGAGACTCTGCTCCCGCCACCGCGCACAAAAAGCCCTCCACCAAACTGAGCCGCAGAGCACCCACTGAACGTCACGTCGACAAGCTCCGCAGCCGCGCCGTCCACCACAGACAGCGCCCCACCGCGCCCGCTGTCAAACTGGAACAGGGAGCCGTGCCCCACAGAGCTGCAACTGGCAAACACCACAGACCGCAGAACCACATCTTGTCCGGTGCCCGAGACGCGAATGACGGACGATGCAGCCGAATCGACCTGCGACACCCCGCCGTTGCGGACTTCCACGCCAGACAAGTGCAGACTCCCACTGGTGCCCGTCAGCTCGTTGTCCTCAATCTTGAACAGTACTCCACCGATGCTTGAGCCAGCCACTGCGCAGTCAAAAACAACCCCGCCGTTTGCCGATCTAATCGAGACTGGTGACTGGATGAGCGCCGGCAAGTCACGGGCACAGCCATACGTCCCGGCCTCCAGCACAAGTTCCTTCCGATCCCCACACGTCGTTGTCGCCCTTAGCCGTGCCACAACGCATGCAAAGCTCGACGGAACAATACACGCACGCTGCTCTGAAACACCCGGTGTTTGGAGCCGACGCGACGTCATAGAGAACGCTGTCTGCCCGCTTCCGCGAAAGATCACAACCGTGCCAGCAGCCCCATACGCAACATCAATATCGCCGTCACTGTCAAAGTCATCGACAAGGACATCGATCGCCCTGGTGTGAGTCGAACCATCCGTCTGAAGCGCGAGTGCATACGAGCCCGAGACGTTGCGGAAGACCTTGACCCCACCGGTGTTGAATCGAGCAAAGACGTCGGCGTACTTGCCGCTGGTGTGGCTGACCGTCACTCCAGTCAGCGTGGACAAATCAGAGTAGATCGGCGACGACACGTAGCCGGTTCCAGTCCACGTGAGTAAGATGATCACCCTCAACCCGCTCGCCACAATCTCATTGCTCCCGTCTCCGTCCACGTCGTACGCCACCACTCCGTTGGCATCAGTCACACTGATGGCGAGCCGACTTGCAAAGCTCCGACCACCGGCAGCATGCCACACGTAAACAACGTCGTGCGCTTCGCAAGCCGCCACCACATCTTCCCTCCCGTCCGAGTTGACGTCGGCTACAGCCAGGCTGTTTGCATTCGGCGCGCTTCCATCCATGTCGATAGGCTCACCAAAGCTGCCGCCTCCAGTCCCGTAAAAGATGTGGACGCCGGTCGAACTTGTTGCCACTACGTCCATCATCTCGTCGCCGTCAAGATCACTGCTGACCACATCGCGGCAAGCTGCGAGGTTGGTCGAAATGGTGACCGCTGGCACCGTCAGTCCCATGCCATTGTTGGCGAACCAAGCGACGTGTTGCACCGCAGGGTTGATCGAGCACACCACGACATCGACGTCGCCGTCGCTGTCAACATCCACTGCATCGATGCCGTACGCGCCAGGAAACGGTGCAAACGGCACCACATTGTCCGGCAGCCCAAACTTGTTCTCCACAAGCCGCACACCCATGTTCTCATCGGCAACCGCAAGGTCCACGTCGCCGTCGTTGTCAAAGTCCAAGCTCGCAATCTTGGCCCGGCGCGAGGCGATCGCGACCGTGCCGCCTTCCGAATACGTGGCAGGAAACGTCTCGTTGGTGTTCCGGTAGTAGCCGAGCACCTCGGACGACGGTGCCGTCACGACATCCACTCGTCCGTCACTGTCCACGTCGCCCAGCGCAAGTACACCGTTGGTAGACGCCGTCGACGTTACTTCCCGGACCAGGCCACGCAGGGTGCCAGCCAGCGAGACAATGCTCACACCGCCACTGTGGCTGTACACCACATCCAGTGCATCGTCATCGTCCATAAAGCTCAGAGCTAGTCCCCCTAGCTCGTTGACTGGCAAAGCGATGGTGAATCCCGAGTCGAAAACAACTGCATTCGCATTGATGTTGGTGTAGAGCATGATCCGAGCTCGCGTGACTGTGCCCACGATCACATCGCCGTCGCCGTCGCCGTCGGCATCAGCCACAGCCACGACTGTCGCCCCGTACTCGCCACTTGCAATTACGATCCGGCTTCCAAAGCCACCAGTCCCCGTTCCAAGGTGCACACCGACGCTGCCGTCGCCGCCCACAGCTGTCACCAAGTCGGTGCTGCCGTCGGGGGAAATGCGCCCCTCCCCGAGCGCCGTCACACCGACCATCGCAATGCTGGCGCAACTGAAAAAAGTCCCGTCGCCGCTAGGGTTGCACATCACGTCGATACGCGAGCTTGTGGCCACCACCGCATCAACAAAACTGTCACTATTGGCATGGAGCAGGACCAGCGCTACCACCGGCGACGGTGGCGACGCCAGCGTGCCACCGAGGATTGCGTCAAAAGTCCCATTCCCGAACCCATGGATCCACACCACAGTTCCACTGTCGAGGAGCGCAACAACATCGTCGGCGCCGTCGCTGTTCACGTCGCTCGCAAGCAGAGTTGTTGCAGGTGATGCCAGAATCTGTTTGCGGCCGTCAAACGCGCTCGATCCAAACCGATTGACGTACGTCGCAACGCCGCCGTTGACCGCTGCGACGACATGGCCGCCACTTGCAACAACTGCCGCTTGCGGTGCAGCCATTTCCGCGAACAGAACTCTCCCTGAAGAAAAGGTCCTTGATCCCGTGCCGAGGGCATAGTACGCGGTAGCGCCGGAAAAGTCCCGTGAGCCAACAACATCAAGCAGCCCATCGTTGTTCACATCCGCTGTTCGGTAGATATCGGGGAAGCTCCACCAGAACGTGCTCTCGCGGCCGACACTCGTTGTGCCAGTGCCCCAGTAGCCAAGGACAAAGTTGGACATATGCCGACCTCCAAGCAGATCGCCGAAGCCGTCGTTGTCAAAGTCACCAGCCACAGACCGGTAAGGCGCTTCCTGGAGCGTACTTGAGACCGCCGTGAGAAAGCCACCGACACCGTCTCCTGGGTGCACAATGAGCGACGTGCCCGAGATCACCATCAAATCCATATGGGTATCGTTCGTCGCCTCGAGCACAAACATGGCATCACGCAAAGTCGGCCCGGATCTTTGCGTAAAGCTACCGCTTCCGTTGTTCGCGAGCACAACAAGGCTGCTCATCCCGCTTGCCCAGATCCACGGCGCCGGGTTGGCACCGACATACACTACGTGAAGGCTGGATGTTCTACTTGACGTCAGCGTCTCGCCTCCAGTCCGCCGCACCGTCCAGCTCGGGCCCTGCAGCCAGAACAGGCCATCGGCCGACGAGCCGATCACATCGTTCACGCCATCGGCGTCGACGTCGACAACCTGCACAAGCTTGGCGCCCGGTACTGTCGCCAGCACTTGCGTCTCCCCGCGCGCCGCGATCCACACCATGACTGCATTGCCAACCACGCCCAAGATGTCTAACCGGCTGCCGCCCATCACCGAGCCCACCGCCACCGAGTGCACGTTGCGAAGCGCCGAGCCACCACGGACTAGCGTCGTCAGCGACGAGAACTTGCCAAGATCCGGAACGTACTCAACCACGCCGAGCACCGCATACTCGGGAAGGGTCTTGAGGGAGGAGGAGACCAGCACAACGTCGGCGTGACCGTCACCGTTGATGTCTTCAGCAACAACCTCGGCCAACTTGTACAATCTGGCGTCGATGGCCATGACTTCTGTGCCTCTATCCGCCGCGCACGGCGACGCTGCCTCCGCCACCGCCCCGCTTCCGCCACCACCCGCCACCACCACCAGAGTCACGGCCACGGCCACCAAAGCCACCCACTGCCTCAGGCATGTCAAGGACCTGAGCATGATATTGGATGACGTTGGTAGAGTAGAGTATGGCAGGCTCTCTCGCTCGTTGGCCAACTCACCACCACGACCACAGGTCGGCCTTGCTCGAGTTGACGTCGTAGGCTGAGAGGATCGACAAGAGTCAACAAAAAGGCGGCAAAAAAATGTTCGTCCGCAAGGAAAAAAGGGGATCCCTGCAACTCAACCCAACTCACGCACCACACCCACAGCCCAAGTGTCTCGACTCAAGTTCATTCCTCTCCTTCTCCCCCCTCCCCTCCCTCCGCCGCCCTCCTGAAGGCACGTGCTCGCCCATAATGCCCATTCGCATGCTTGTGGTTCTGGCCGTGGTCGCGGTCGTGGCGGTTGGCCTCATGCTCGCTCCGGTTGGCGCGTCTTCTTCTTTCGTGACGCCGTCGATCGAGCAATGCAAGTCGCAGCTGCCGTCACCTTCGACGACGATTGCGGTCACGTCGTACCCGGCGTTCAAGAACATGGTCCTCACCAATGTGAGTCACGACATGCCGCGAAGCGTTTTTACGACCACTGGTGCTGGACTCTCGCTGTTTGTTCCGCGCGCGAGCGGCTACGCAGGGATGATGGTCCTGTATCCGGGTACGGTCCGCCTCCCCTCGCAAGGCCATGGCGTGGACATGGACCGCGACGGGCTGGACGACATTGTGTTCCAGGCTGAAGGTCTTGGCGTTGCGTGGCTTCGCAATCTCGGCAACAACGTGTTTGATGTCACTAATCCCATCGTCATTACTCCGGGCTGGGCCTCGTCAAATCTGGTCGCCGTTGCCGACCTCGACGCCGACGGCGACGAGGATCTCATTTTCAACGCCTACAACGACTACCGATGGATGGCCAACGGCGGTGACGGAAGGTCGTGGACCGAAAACATCATTCCCAGCCCGCCGCTTCTCTTTAGTCAGAAGAACTTGATCGTCGCAGACTTTGGAGGCAACGCCACACGCGAGATCATTGTGGACAACGGATCTGGTCGTGCCTACCTGCTCTTCGACGACGGCTCGCTAACCTGGTCCGGCCGCAAGCAAATTGTCTTCTCGGACATCGAGAAGACAGGCATTGTCGTGGCCGACATGAACGGCGATGGTCAACTTGACCTTGTTGTGCCGCATAGCAACAGAGTGTTCTTCGCCCGCAATCTGGGCTTGTCATCTTTCTGGCCCTCGTCGAACGTGTACACTAGCGCCGGCTCGAACTATGTGGCTGTCGGCGATGTCGACAATGACGGTGACAACGACGTCATTCATGCTGGTCCCTTTAGCAGCCTCGTTCTCTCCCGCAACTCAGGAACCGGCACGTTCTCGAGCTCCTACATCACCGTCAGCAATGCTCAGTCAGCGTTCCTAGTCGACCTCGATGGCTCTGGCGTACTTGACCTGATCACCGGCTACAGCTTCAACTCTGGCTTTAGGACATATCGTGGCTACGGCACCGGCTCGTTTTCCTCTCTCAGTTCGCCGCCTACACTCAACCACAATGTCAAGACGGCCCAGGCCGTAGCTGATGTCGACGGTGACGGGCGACTTGATGTCATTACCTCGTCGCTCACCGGCACGGTCTGGGCCCGCAACGCTGGCAACTCTGTATTTGAAGGCATTCGCAGGATCACGTCAAGTGGTGCTGACCACGTGGCTGTGACAGACTTTAGTGCCAGTGGCCGGCCTGACATTGCACTTGCAGTTGGCAAAGAGCTCCGCCTCCACACAAGCAACCCAAGCTCCATCTCTGGCTTTGATGCCGGTGTCGTCATCGTCACTGCTCCCACGGCGATCACTGCGTTGGCCGTGGCGTACATCGATTCTGGCTCCGCACCCGATGTTGCGTACACCACATCCTCCACTCTGTACACGCTGACAGCAACAGGCGCGTCATCATTTGCGGCACCAACATCTGTGGACAACTCGCTCTCGGGTGCGACAGCGGTGGTCAGCGCCGAATTGACAGGCGATGCTGCGGCAGACCTAGCCGTGGCGACGTCAGGCGATAGAGCCATTGGGCTCTACATCCACGACGGCGTGGCCGGCTTTCGCGCGCGCGTTGTGCTTGTGGCTGGCGTTGCGCCGTTCTCTTCGCTCCTTGCTGCCGACGTTGACGTTGACGGTGACCTCGACCTGGTGTACTCGGCGAAGAGTTTCGCTTTCGTTGGCTGGTTGGCCAACGCTGGGTTAGGTGCCTCGTTTGGCGACGCGACGTCCATCACGGAGGCCGCTTTTGGGGTCGTCTCGGTGGCAGTCGGTGACATTTCCGGCGACAGTGTGCCTGACATGGTCATCGCCGATACAGCCGGCACCACACTCGTCCGTGGGGCAGGCGGCGGAAAGTTTGCCACGCCGGACACCGTCACTACGGTGACTGCCTACTTTACCGGCATTGCCGATGTGAACAGCGACGGTAAGAAGGACATTGTTGTGCGTCAACAGAACTCGCTTGTCTGGGTCCGCAACGCGCCGCAACCAGCGCAGTTTTCTGCGCTCGGCTCCGGCATCGTGAGCACGCCGCGCGCGTCGGGCCGCCCTGAGATGGTGGTTTTTGACGCTAATGCAGATGGGCGTCCCGATGTCGCGGTTGCCCGCCCAGACCAGCTGCAGTGGCAACTGTTCATCAATCGCGGCGACGGTACTGTTAACCGCGTTGCAGCCGTCGACGCTTTCGGCGCCGCGCTGATTGTTGCCGGAGACTTTGACGGAGACGGCGATCTCGATGTAGCACTGGCAAGTGTTGCGCCTAACGGCGCACCCTCTCTCGCAGTCTTCACCAACACCGATGGCGCCGGCGGCTTTGCAGCAACCTCGCAGACAGCCGTGGCATCGGCTGCCGAGCTGACTGCCGCGCCTCGCCAGTTGGCAGTCGCCGACATCGACGGTTCTGGCCACCACGACTTGCTGGCACTCTTTCCAACCTCGGTGACCATTTATTCCATGGCAAGGAACGGATCTTTCGCGCCGAGGCATGTCACCTTTGCTCCGCCCGGTCTCCCAGTCGCGATCACCAGCCTCCGCTCACTCTCTGTCATTGACGTCGATGGCGACGGGGTGCTTGATCTTGGCTTGTTGGCCGACGCTCCGAGGGCCGTGTTCTGGACTGCCGGGCGCGGCGACGGCTCGTTTGCCAGCGGGCAGTTGGTCAACACCTCGGTTGCGGGTGCGAACGACCACTACATCGACGATGTGGCGTGGTGCGACTTTAGTGGCGATGGCACGGCAGACGTGGTTGTCACTGGCCGGCGGGCGGTGCCACCAATGACCAACATCCTCAGCATGCTGCCGTTCAATGCCGAGACCGGGCGCCACGACATGACACCGTCGCGACAATTTTCTGGTAGTTCAACACTCATGGGTCGATGCGGGGATGTCAATGGCGACGGCATGGCCGACCTGGCTGTGCGCCAGAGCGGCATTGATCTCCACATGTCGGCGCCAGGCTCGAGTCTTTTGACGTCGACGGCCGTCAAACATGTGCTCTCGGGACGAGCTGAGCACATTGTGTTTGAGGACATGGACTCGGATAGCTATATCGACGTCGTCAGTGTCAGCCCTGGAGTCGTCACCGGTTCGCCATACCTTATCGCGTGGTACGGTCAGCGGGCGCGTTCGGGCATGGCGCAACCAGTCCCGCGCGTTTTGAGCGGTCGCAACGCGACACGCACCAACTCTGCGCGCACCGCCTGTACTGCGCCCAACTCGTTTGCTTGCCTTCGGGCACGCATGGCGCACCTCTCGCCATGTACAGTCGACACGCTTGTGCTCGAGGCTGGGACGTATAGCTGCCGGACAGAGTCACATGCGAGCTTGTACTCGTCGGCGCGGCTGACGGGCTCGAGTGTGCTGTTCAATTGCAGTGGGCCCGATGGCGAGCTTGGCGGTGTGCTCTTTCGGGCGACAACCGATGCCAACATTGGGGGGGGTGCAAGCGGATGGCTTGAGGTGGACGGAGACATTCGCATTGCTGGCCTCGGCGTTGCGCGGCGCTCGGAGATTGGGGCGCCAGGCCTTCGCGTTGATGCGGCCGGAGCCTACATGAGCCTGCATGGCGTTACGGTGGAGGCCGCCAAATCGGGCCCTCTCACTGGCTCGGTCCTCCACGATGCTGGCCGCGGCGGAGCTGTGCTCGTTTCTGATGGTGGCAAGCTGGTTGCAAGCCACGTCGCCTTTCGTGGGTGCTCTGCGAGCGAGCACGGTGGCGCGATTGCAGTCCGAGGACGCGGCTCAGCAGCGACGGTTACAAACGCCGTCCTGGCGGCCAATACCGCAGGCAGCGAGGGTGGGGCGGTGTCAGTGACGCTCGGAGGCACAGCGACCATGTCTGCAAGCACGGTGTCCGGCAACCGTGCCGAGGGTGTTGGCGGCGGCGGGGTGTTTGTGAGCGGATTGAGCTCGCTGACGGCAAGCAGCGTGGTGTTGTCAGGCAACCAGGCGTCGGTTGGGATCGGCGGTGCAATTCTCTCGGTCGAGTGTGCCAAGGTCACGCTCTCGGGTAGCATCGTGTCCGACAACGCTGCGCTGTCTGGCGGTGGCGTCGGGGCGGTGGCGGTGCTTGAGGATGCCCAGACGGCTGCAGCGGCAGGCTCTGTGTTGGAGATGCCAGCTGTGAGCGTGCCCCTTGAGATCGGCGGCGGAAGCAGCGCTTGCGTGCAGCTCGACGGAGTTGCACTCATCAACAACGCGGCGTCGTCATACGGTGGTGGGTTGCTGGCGTGTGGCGCATGGGTGAGTGTGACGGAGAGCGCAACGACGCAATGGAGCGGAAACACGGCCGGGCGGACGTGGCGTCTGTGGCAACAGCGGCAGACGCATTTCTTTGTGCCTCGCGCCAAGTAGTTGCCCCGTTTGCGTACGATCGCAGCAATTCGGCGGGCCTTCGTGGATGGCGACGAGCGACGAGATGCTCGCAGGCCCACTGGCAGTAGCAGCCGCGAAGATCGCGGGGCCCCCGGCGAGTCTGGCGTGGGCATCGGATCCGACCGAGACAATCATGTCGGGAGGCACGTTTTCCGGCGAGGTGAGTGTGCGCGATGTTCTTGGCCAGCTTGTAGTGTACTCGCATGTGGTGGCACAGCTAACGATGTCCGAATCTACCGGCATGGTTAGCAGCGCGTCGAGCACGGCGCTGCTCTCTACCGTGAGGGTGACGTTGGAACTGGCCGAGCTGCGGATGACGACGACCGAGCAAGCGCGGATAGAGCTGGAGGCAAGTGTGGGTGTTGTGACGAGCGGTTCAGCTTCGCTTGGTGTTGCACCGTTGGTGACGAGCGTGACGATCACCGACTGCGACCCTGGGTTTGGCGCCAAGTTCTCCGCGGCGACGCCGACGGTGCCCGAGTGCGTCGAGTGCGTAGATGGAACGTCTGCCAACACACAGTCGTTTGACTCGTGCGAGCCTACCGAGCCGTGCTCCGGCAATACCGTGCGGATCCCGAATGACAACACCTCTGCCGTGTATGTGCCACTGTGCGTGTGTGCACGAGGCTTTTGGTCGCCGGCAGGCGAGGCCGACGAGCCGTGCGAGCCGTGTCCTCGCGGCGGGATTTGCGACGGCGGGCTCTCGCTTCCAAAATCTGCAGCCGGATTCTTCTCGCAGTCTGTGAGCTCGTTTGTGGAGTGCCCGCGCGACGGCTGCGCCGGGAACGACAAGTGCAAGACCGGTTATACCGGGTTTGTGTGCGCGACGTGTGCTCCGGGCTACTTTGCCAGCTCGGCCGACCGCTGCGAGGAGTGTCCTCCGGGCTCGGTGGCGCTGATTGTGATGCTCGGCCTTGTTTTACTGGCGGCGGCCGGCGTAGCTGCCGGGTTTGTGGGCTGGTCTCTAGCGCGCGATGCGCGGCGGCGCGAAGAGAGGCTGAGCCTCGGCGAACATCTTGCACTGTTTCGCTCTCGGTCAACGCCAGTCTCTGTGCCAATGATTCTGACCGCGTTTCAGATTATAGGCGTGATTGCCGAAGCCAAGCTCCACTGGCCAGGACCTGCCCTCCGGGTTCTGCAGATCTTTACGCTCTTCAACATCGACGCGCGGTTTGCAGGCTCTGGCTGCTCGATCACCTCGCACTATGGCGGGTACGCTCTCGCTGTGGTTCTCCCAGCCGTGTTCCTGGTGGCTGTTGTCTTGGCACTGGTGTGTCTGCGGTGCACCAACTTGGCGTGGTTCCGTGGCCTACAGAGCCTCTCGCTCCGGACGCTGGCAAACGGGGCACTGTTTGCGATCGCGCCCCTGCTGTTTGTACCTGCGAGCAAATCGGCGCTGGTGCACTTTGATTGCATTCGAATCACGTCAGAGGTGACTGTACTCGATGCCGAGCCTTCAGTGCGGTGCTTCGACTCTGCCTGGTTCCAGATGTTGCCGTTGGCGGGAGGAGCAAGTTTGGTCTACGTTGTTGGCGTTCCGCTTTACTTTGCGTATGTGCTCCGTTCAGCGGCGGCGTCACTGGCGTCCCAGTCGAACGAGGCGCTGCTGGCGGCAATGCTTTCGGCAGGCCCGCTTTTCCGCCACTACTGCCTCTCGCGACTGTATTCCGAAGTCGGCTCGCTGCTCCGGCTGCTCATTGTAGTTGCGGCGTCTCTGTTCCTCTCTGAAAACGTGGTGCTTCTTGCTGGCGCGGTCATTGGCGCGCTCGGCGGATGGACTGCTTACGTGCTCGCGGCAGCGCCATACTACGTCCGGGCGTACAACGGACTGGCGGTGCGGCTCATGGGCGGAGTGACGGCAATTCTCGTGGTCGGTGTCGGCGGCTTTGCAGAAGACGCGCAGTCGGGGCCCAAGGCCACGCTTGTCTCGGTCGCTGTCATTCTACTTGTGGCTCTTCTGATTGTCAGCTCGATCCACGGCTTTGTTGTTGACCTGCGCGGCATCAGTCGCGAGAAGCGCGGCGGTGCGATTGCCAGTGACAATCGGCGGGATGCGTTTGGCGCGTACCTCCGCGTCGAGCTCGCGGATGTTGGCGGACCGGTTGACGGCGTTCAGCTGGAGGCCCAAGCGCTCCTGGAGTTATGGCCACGCGACTCGGGAAAAGACATCGAGAGTGACGATGGCGAGACATGGATGTCTGCAACGTCGACGAAGTCGGGGACCTCGGAGACGGAGACCGGATCAAGTTCATCATCGGGCTCGGGCTCGGCTTCAGTGTCGGGGACAGGTTCGGTGTCGGGAACGGGTTCGGGGACCGGCTCGGCTTCGGTGTCGGGCTCGGCTTCGGTGTCGGGGACCGGTTCGGGGACCCCAGCGCCCCTGCTCGAGCTTCCGGGATCGAGGGAATCGAGCTCGTCAATGTCGTAGCTGCAGGCGCGGCGCGGGAAGATAAAGCCTAGTATCTTTCCTGCAGCTGTTTCCAGCCAGAAAACAGCGCGTCGCGCTGGCGGTCTCTGTCAGACTTGATCTTGACCTTAAAGCGAGCATCGACGTTAGTCTCCGAGTCTGCGAGACGGGCCAGAACCCGCTGGCGCTTGCGAGCGGCGCGCTGCTCGGCAGTCTCCTTTGTCGGCGATGGGTGCGTGGAGGCGGCAGAGACGGCTGATGTTGGTGCGGCGGAGGGCCGCTTGCGCTTGCGCTTGGCGAGCATGGCGTTGCGGGCAGCAGCAAGGCGGGCTTTCCGCGAGGCCGAAGCCGAGGCAGTGGTCTTGGCCGAGGGAGGGAGGCGCGAAATGGGCGGGCGGGAAGATGCAGCGGGGGCGGCGCCGCCGGGCGCGGCGCTACCGCCAGGAGCAAAGCGCGGCAGCGTGCGGCCAACAGCAGTCCGCTGCGCGTTGGCTTTGAGGCGCGACTTGTTGACGGCTTGCATAAATGAGGTGCCGCGACGATACGAGTTGGCAGCACTGGCGTCGCGGGTGACGGCAAAGATCTTGGTGGCCTTGCCGGCGTTGAGGCCGTTGGAGCGGGCAGGATCGTAGGTCGCTTGCCCCGGCTTGAGAACCATCGACGCGTGGGCCGAGGCTTGCTCGCCGTTTTCTGGCTCGTCAACCTTGCCCGGCGCTCCGGATGTACCGGGCTTGGAGGTGGACGGCTTGGACGCGCCGTACTTTTGCTCGCCGACGGTGCGGGCGGTTGCGTCACCGCCGGTGGTATGCGAGCCGACGCTGAACATAAGCTCGTAGTACTCAGCACGAACGTGGGACGGGACCGCGCTCAGCTCGGTGCCAGAGAGCTGGATGCCGGCACGGCCAGCGGCGATGACGTCTGCAGACAGATCAGAGGCGGCAGGGGAGTCATTGGCTGCAGAGCCTGCGTTGGCAGCGGCCTTGGTGGTGGCGACCTCAGTGGCACGGGCGCCGGCAGTCAGCGGGGCCTTGCGCGAGGCGGAGACAACGCTCCGCGACGACGGGCGATATTTGCGCCAAAAGGCGGCCCAGAAGGCGATCTGGTCGTCATCAAAGTTGGCCATGGCGGTGTGGACAAAGTACAGATCGCGCGAGTGGAGCTCGAGTAGAGTCCCGTAGCCCTCAGTCAACACCTTACGAACATGCGGCTCGGCCTTGGAGCGGTACGTCTTTTTGAGCCAGCCGCGGAGAACAGTGTGATGGAGGCCGAGGCGGACAATGCCGGCCTCTGTCTCCAGATCGTCGCGAGTGAGGCCAAAGAGAGCCCAGAGCGAGATGGGCTTGGCCATGACGGCGTTAGCAAATGCGCGAACCTCGCCATGGAGCTCAAGCCAGACCTGCTTCCGTAGCGCGTTTGCCGATGCCTTTGCCGGCCCTGTGCGGCACCTGATGGCGGCCTGATCGGCCTCGCTGAGGCTGGCGAGCCCATTGACATCGTCGATGCTCACCGGCGGCTGGCCAAAGTCGTAGCAAGCGAGATGCCACAGACCTGCCTCAGCAGCCTCCAGCACGCCTTTAGCCGACATACTCAGCGATCTCTCCCTTTCAATAGTAACGTCTGTCTTGCCCGGCATCAAGCCGCAGGCATTGCACACGGCGGTGGCCTCGGTCGCGGGGTAGCTTGCGTGGAGCATGGTCAGGGTAGAATCGTTGACAGCGGGGGGGGCGGGGGGGGGGGGGGGGGGGGGGGGAGGGAGGGGAAGGGAGAGGAGGGAGGAGGAGGGAGGAGGGAGGAGGGAGGAGGGAGGGGAGAAGGGACTG